TGAGATGGAGTTTTGCTCTTGTTGCCCAGGCTGGAGTACAATGGCGTGATCTCGCCCACCTTGGCCTCCCAAAGTGGTGGGATTACAAGCACGAGCCACCGCACCCGGCCTGTTCAAGATCTTTTAACACTGATACATATCCTGTGCTTCACAGTGAAGGACTGTCTGATGCCCCTATTGAGAAAACATCTTTTTTAGTGCAGCTGGCTAGTAAAGGGGGCATTTAAGACACTGGTGTTGTCCAAAGCGGGACAGGCTTGACCTGGCTGGAGCAGTGCTTTGTTGCGGAGTGTCGATATCTCACATGGCCATGCATTTTCTTTTTTTTTTTTTGTTTTTTGAGATGGCGTTTCGCTCTTGTTTCCCAGGCTGGAGTACAATGGCTCGATCTTGGCTCATTAGAACCTCCATCTCCTGGTTTCAAGTGATTCTCCTGCCTCAGCCTCCTGAGTATCTGGGATTGCAGGCATGCACCACCACGCCCTGCTAATTCTGTAATTTTAGTAGAGATGGGGTTTCTCCATGTTGACCAGGATGGTCTTGAACTCCCGACCTCAGGTGATCCGCCCGCCTCAGCCTCCCAAAGTGCTGGGATTACAGGGGTGATCCGTTACGCCTGGCCGGCCATGCATTTTCTTTTGTTCTGCATCTGCTTTTAGTAACTGACTCAAATATTCTGATGACTGGAAAGAAATGCTTCCCTGTAATACACTGGTTAATTGGAATTCTATATTATAAATGGGTCTCTGTTTTTTGGTCACTTTCCCAGAATCTGATCAATTGGAGACAATGAGCTAAAAGTGAACTGCTGGCCTCCCTTCCTCTCCCCTCCTTCCTCTCTTCCCTCCTTACCCCCCCCCAAAAAAAAAAAGAAAAAAAAGATTGAGCTGCTCACCTGGAGATGCTGCCCCCAAATTATCAGTAGACTGCCACTTGGCATCCTTGGAGGTCAGCAGTCTCTAGGAACACTGGTTTTTGGTGTTAAAGGCTGATTTTTTTTTCCTACTGTTTAAACATCTCTGTACAAGTCCTCGTTATTTCCCTAATTTTATAGGATCTTATGATTATTATGATAGCCATGGTCATGAAAACAGACCTGTCTCTTGGGTAGAGAAGTTAATCTGGCCCCGAACATCCTGGGAAGTGTCTATGAGAAATCCCTGTGGGTTGTGTGCAGTGGCAGCAACATGCCGGTCATGTGACATCCCCACTGTCCGCTGAACCTGCCAAGACACATTAAATAGGGAGCAAAACCCCTGCTACATCAAGAGGAAGCCAGCTGAGTGGTAAGATTGATGTCCCACAGTCATCAGCACAGGGGTCTCATCTGGGGTGGGACTGCCCAACCCCCTGTTGGGTTTTGGAATTGACTGGAGGATTCTGAGGTGCCACAGTGATGGTGTTAAGGGGAGGACACACAGCAATGCTGAATGTCTGCAACGTTACAAACAGTACAGTAGGACAAAGAACTGCCCAGAATGCCACCAGCACCCCTGTACAGAAGGAAACATGTCTTGCTCGGACCACAGAGCTGAAGTGGATGATTTGGGCCGGGCATGGTGGCTCACACCTGTAATCCCAGCATTTTGGGAGGCTGAGGCAGATGGATTGCAATGTCAAGAGTTCAAGAACAGCCTGGCCAACATGGTGAAACCCCATCTCTACTAAAAAAATACAAAAATTGGCCAGCGTGGTGGCTCACACTTGTAATCCTAGCACTGTGGGAGGCCGAGGCAGGTGGATTGCCTGATCTCAGGAGTTCCAGACCGGCCTGGGCAATTCGGTGAAACCTCGTCTCTACTAAAATACAAAATAAATTAGCTAGGCATGGCAGCATGTGCCTGTAGTCCCAGCTACTTGGGTGGCTGAGGCAGGAGAATTGCTTGAACCCGGGAGGCGGAGGTTGCAGTGAGCAGAAATCACACCATTGCACTCCAGCCTGGACAACAGAGCAAGACTCCGGCTCTACAAAAAAAAATAATAATAATAATACAAAAATTAGCCGGGCATGGTGGTGTGTGACTGTAATCCCAGCTACTCAGGAGGCTGAGGCAGGAAAATC